ATTTGATTGAGTTATAGTTTTTAAGTATACAGTACAGTTACATTTGGTCCTTTACTATTTTTAAAAAGTTTTTCTTTTCCTGGTCACTAATTGCAAACCCATCTTCCGTATCTGAAATTCTGTCTTTGCGTTGGCTCATTCTGCTGTGGAAACTTTCAATGAAGTTTTTAATCTCCTAGAAATCTGTTTGCATCTGTTTTATGGTTTCCAGTTGTTTCCTATGTTGGGATTCCATCATTTTCCTCAGCTCATCTGTTTGTTTTTTTTAATCTGTGTCTGCTCTAGATTTATTAATCATGTCTTGCACTATGGGCACAATCTCTGCTGTTATCTGAAAAATTATTTCTGATTTCATTTTTTCCAGATTTTTTTTGTTGCCAGTTCAGAGAATCCAGGTGGTTGAGTATCAGACTGTTCCTGATTTCCCTTTGGGGTTGTCTTAGGTGATCTGGAAGTCTGCTTTTGGGACTTGTTTCCATGTTTTCTCATTTCAAGAGTTGCAGTCTGCTGTGCCTTTGTTGAGACAACTTTTTGCTCACCCAGTGGTTTTCAATTCTCAGCAAGCCACCAAGAGGCCTTTTCTCTGCTGCTCACCAGTACACCAATTCATAGGTTCAGAATGATGCCCTTCTGGATCCCTGAGCTCACCTGTTGGCCGGACAGGCTTGTGGCTGTGGCCTTAGCAAGTTGGCTTGGTATGTAGGTGTGCCTCTTTCTGAGGCCTCTATGTACCAGTTGTCTGAGAGGGCCTTTGGCTGAAGGCTGTGCTCCTCAGTTCCTATTGTCTGAGCAGGCTTCTGGTTAGGGTCTTTGCCAGAGAAAGCACAGGGCAAGCCTTTGACTGAAGCTTGTGCACATGTGTAGCTCTTGTCCAGGCAGGTCCTTGGGTGAGCAGGTTTGGCCAAGGTTCTGGGTTTGGGATGGATCCCTGGCTGGGATCTACCTGCAACCACACTGGTCTGGGCCACACCACTACTCCCTGGGATCTGTGCACACTCACTTATGCTATGGGGTGGGCCCTGTGGCTGGATTATTTTATCATTTTCCCCATGTGGTCATTTTTATGCTTAAGAATTTAAGGTTTGTTTTTATGGGTATACCTCCCCCAAATAATAACTAACTCAAATAGTGCATTTTCAAAGACTTGCTAAAGATCTTCTATGTGTAGGGCCTCAGTTAGTCATGCCAATGTGTCCAGATTCAGTTTGTGAATTTCTCTAGGAAACCAGCATCTTCCCATGTCCTCTCCATAAGTTCATGGTATCACTAGGTAGCCATGATATAGACCAACATCCCCAGGATTCTCTTAAACCCTCCTTACCCCAAAATCTTTACTCTTAATTAGTGATAATCTTCTGACTCTGCAACATCTGTTTCTTTGCCAGGAGCCTTTCATCATTTGTCAGAACTTTGGTAATGGACTCCTCATTGGTTTCCTGTATCCAGACTGATAGAAGGCTAATCCATCTGCATACTGCTACTTTAAACTGCAAAACATTCATAGTACTCCACACCTTTTCTTAAAAAAACCTCTTTCAGACTTTTATTACTTTGATTTTATGAATTATTTGCACTACTTTTCTTCATGAATTTGGTTTCATTTCCTGTAATGTTTCAAATCATGTAAACACATTTTCTCTAGTGATCAAGGTTGGTGTAGGTAGCTACTTTCTTTTTCAGTACACACTTTCAATTATGTTTCTAAGGAGGTAAACATTTTTTAAGAAAAATTTCATCCCCAAACTGCTAAACTGGCCCTTAGTTTTTCTCATTTTTGTAATGATAATATAACCAACATTCATTGAGAACATGCACATGTTCTGTGTTCACACCATTCTGCTGAGTGTTTTATTTTATACAAAAGCCAAAGTAGCTCTCTAAGATAGAGTCCGTATTATTTCTTTACACTTCCAGAACAGTAATGAGTTTAGAAAGCTTAAGTAATGTTTCCAGTTACTTTGCTGGTGAATAGAAGGACTCGGATTTGAAATCAGACATTTTTAATGCCAGAGCTTATGCCTTTAATCTCTATTACACAGTTTTATACCTCTTCAGCAAGGATATATAGGATGAATGTTCATTATAATGTATATAAACTATCAAGGACTCAATAATGTCATATTACTTTCAAATGTATGTAAAAATGTTGTTTTGTTTTTTTGTTTTCAGTACCGGGGATCGAACTTGGGTTCTCATGTTTGTGAGGCAGGCAGTGGAACCACTGAGCTAAATCCCTGGCCCAAAAAGTTTTTAAATGTTTATTGATTTTCATATATCTGTGTTTTTCAGACAACTTGATGGAATCTACCTGATAGGTTTTATTTTTTGCATTCTTCAATAGAATTCAAAACAGTGCATTCACTGTGCATTGCTAGTCCTTAAAAACTGTTTGTTGATTGACTACGACTAGAAGCCTGTTTTTATTTGCAAAGAATAAATTTTAGCATCCTTTGGAATTGTTTCTATTTTCTTTGTGCAAAAAGAATAATAAACCTATATGTGGCATATATATATATATATATATTCTTTTATATAAACAGCTATAAAAACTTTCTACTATCAATCTTTCTAACAAAAGAACATATGGATAGATAGATTGTTAAATATAAAGATAGGTAGATAGCTAGACAACTTTTTAAAATTATGTCATTCAATATCTCCCTCCAATATTATATTTGCAAGATGGCACCTTCCTTTATCAATAGTTGATGGGGCCGTGTGTAGTGGCACATGTCTGTAATCTCAGCACTTGGGAGGCTGAAGCAGGAGGATCACTGTGAGTTCGAGACCAGCCTGGGCTATACAGTGAGTTCCAAATCAGTCTCAACTATGTAGTGAGACCCTATCTCAAAAAAAAAAAAAAAAAAAAAAGTTGACAGGCCAGGATTTTGCTCAGTGGTGCCATTGCCTGCCTCGTAAGCACACAGTTCTGAGTTCGATCCCTGGTACCAAAAAAAGGTCAATGGTTGGAAGTCATTGACACTTAGGTTTTATTTGGAGTTGGGAGAAATTTAAAAATTGAACTACAAAATAATAATTTGTATTACTCAAAAATATGACAAGCATATCAACAGAAAAAAAAGTAGCATTATTATAGTGGATTTGGATATAAAGAGCAACGTCTTCCCAACTCCTAACATCTGAACAAAGAATGCCATTGGTGGGGTAGTTTTAAATTTCTAGAACACTTTTCCAATTAAATTGAGTGGACATTTTTCCATTGTTGTTTCAGGGTACTACTGCATTTTTGTAAGGTCAATATTTAGGAAAAAAGTTTATCAAGCATTGTTTAATAGACATTATACTTTTTTCTTAACATTATTTCTCCCTCTACACTAATGTATTCTACCAAAAAGGTATCTTTGAGATTTTTTCCTAATTCTCTGAGTTTTTGTTTAATTATCTCAAGTGCTACGATACTCTCAATCTTTCATTACAAGTGGATTAATGCATTCAAAGACTAAAGAAAAAAATTAAAAGAAAAAAAATTGGTTGATTCCCTGTGCAGGAACACAAAGACCAAAAAACAACTCAATATGGATTACTTCAATTGCATCAAGTAATTTCACTAGAATAGTCTAAACTAGCAACTCTAACTCTAATAAGAATAAAACAAAAAGAATTTGATTTAAAAGGTAAAGAAGATTGAGACATGGAATCTCTTTTAATGAGGAATTCATGATCAAGAATACTAGTCTAGAGTCTAGCTTTCAGAAAGGGGTCAGTTATATTTTCTATTTGGATTAGCCCATACGCTGAATATATATCCACTCTGAAACTGACAGGTGCAGAAGACTTACACTTGTAGACAAAATGTCTTTCAAGGGTTTCTTCTTGATTGCTTGTTGCAGTGTACATGAAAGATATATATTCATTGAGTAAATATGGAGTGATACTAATTTTAAGTTCCATACCAGTGTTTCTTTTTGGTATACAAATTCCCCTTCATTTTAAACTATGGATTGACATTCTTTACGTCTTGGATTTCCTGAAGAAATGATGCATACACAACATTTTGTAAATAATTTCAGGAAGTTTATAGAGTCTGTGAATCTGCTTCCTAGAATGTAGTTTTCCTCCTTCTGAACCCTAATTTTTTCTGTGAAAAAGACTAACTCCTCTTCCTAGGCTTTCTCAATGTTGTTCACATCCTTAAAACTAACAGTTATGTGTCCTCTTCTTGCTTGAAATATATGTTGACTGAGGAATCCATCCAAGATTTCAAAAGAAACATGGACTTTCAAAAAATTTTTGACTAATTCTTACATCATGAAAAATATTTAAAAATCATGTATGCATTTATCTGTTACAATAATCCTACAAATCATGACTATTTTAGATATTAAAAATTATATCTTGCAAGAACAATGTATTTTTCTGCTTCAGATTCACGCAGTATAAATTGTGGCATTTTTAACCAAAGTGCTATGACTGCTGAATACACAGATTTCTCATTTTCTTGTAATGTATTGGCATCACAGTTTCAAACTTATATTTAGAGTCACATATGTCTGCAGAATACTTTATTACTGCCATTTCTTGTGACTGCTCAATCCTTCACATTTTTTAAAATTCTAAAAATAAATCTTTCATAATAAGGACCTCTGCTCTGCCTTCATTATTTAAGTTCAAATTCCAGTTCCTAAGCTTTACATAAATTGTCCTGTTTAAATAATCCCTTTTCACTCTCAGCCAACTGTCATTTACAGAATTATTTGCAATGAAAATTATATTGCCCTTATGATGAGAGTGGTCAGCCAGGAGGGTTTCAATTCAGCCAGCCTGTGGAATCGGCAGGTACATATTTGTTCAATTGGTCCCTCATGTTTAACTCTACTCTGAAGAAAAATCTCTAGACCTATAGATGAAGGATGCTGCAAGATGCAGGGATGAATTAAGCAAGCAGAGCCTCTCCGCCCTTGTGCTCTCCAAATCAGGGAAGAATACTTTTCCTACTGTAAGTGCTATTGATTTGTCATGAGACCAGTGATCTTACTTACATGTTGAAGTGCTCGGTGAAGATCAGGTTGGTAGAAGTGCCAGTGATGGTGGTCAGGCCGCCAATGGTGGAAGAGTAAGCAATGCACAGACACATAAGTTTGCACATCATGTGGTCCTTCTTCGATCGGTACTTTTTCCCTGTGATGGCGTTCTGTTCAGAAAGAAAATGCACTATGAGAGCAGCTGTTTATGGTGAGAATGTTTCTTAGTGAGATGAATGTGTGCCACCCATCACTGATTCCTGTCTGTGTTGATTTTCCACGACTGGGCATGTGGAAGGTGATTAAGTTTAGATCTCATCATTTGGCAAACCCTGTTGTGGTTTTTTTACGAGCTCCTATCACCAGATAAGAAGACCAGGTTGTTGTCCCTTCTGTGCAGGTGAAGGATCTCTCCCAACTGCTTGCTCATGACTCACTCATGTCTTCTGTATGTGAGAGTCAACCTGATCTCTTTATGCTAAGGTTATCTTACTCTATCACAGAGCTCTCATGCAAGAAGGTGTCAACCCAGTTACACCAAATGCTACTCTTCCCGCATGTTCCCTATATCTGTTCATTTGAAATAAACACCACTATCATGAAAATAGAACTGAAACTCCATGGGTCAGGAAATTCAACCATGACATTTTAACTTTCTAATTTTTTAAGAGCGCTTCAAATACTAATCCCTTGACCTCTTCTAGCTTAAGTCTAGGGGACAAATATCAGGTTTCCAAGTGGTGATTTCTCAATATCTATTTCACAATATTAAGTGAGAGACTTCCATTCTTCCTTCCTTGGAAGTATGTAGGTATGAGTGTTAGGAAAGTACCCAAGCTTTCTCTGTTAACTCTTGAGTTTAAGAACAAAAAACTGCTTTTTAGTTACCATGTTTTCAAATTTGAATGAAGAAATATCTATGGCATGTGCTTACTATTACAGTTATTTAGGGATAGAATTGTACCCTTCTATTCATCATACTTTGGCTGGTTGCTTATAGTTTCTTCTACCTCTGCTGTTGAATTACTACTATGACTATTGTCTTTCAACTCTCTTGACAGGCCTACATCATTGAAGCATCCAGTTATTCCCAATGGACTGGTTTTCTCCTTTTTCAAACTTACTTCCAAATACAGTTGTGATGGCATAGTAAGACATTTAAGTACCCTTCCTAACAAGTCTTTAGGCCATCTTTTATATTAGCAGTTTGTAGATAAGAATTGCTGTAGATAAGATGAAAGGTAAGAATTGCTGTGAGAAGACTCATAAAGTGGTAACCATAGTAGATCAGACCACATCTTCATCCACTCATCTACCATTAGACAGGTTGTTTCTGTATGTTGGCCACTGTGAACAGTGCTGCAATGAACATGGAGGTGCAGATATTTCTCTGCAAAATTAATTTCCTTTATTTTGCATGTATACCCAGCAGTGATATTGCTGAATTGTACGGTAGACCTAGTTTTAGTTTTTGAGGAAACTTAATAGTGTTTTCCATGATGGCTGCATCAGATCCTTGCTCTGCTTAATTCAGAGAAGTATGCTCTCTGTGGCACTGGCATAGCAAGGATCTTTTGGTAAATTCATGATAAGCAAAATTTACTATTTCCTAAAAGTCATCGTGAATGTGGGAATGGCATTTACATGAGTATAATTTAGTTTTTACCTTCTAATTAACTTAAATCTCATCCTCAAAGGTATCTACTCTTCACCCAGAAGAATTAAATTCACAGATATCTCATGTGCTTTTATTTTTTACATGGAAATGATACATAATTTCTATATGCTAAAAATGGAAAAGTTGTAAAATTTCTATCTAAATAAAATCATAAAATAAATTTAAAATTTCTTATAAGTGATATAAAGTGACAACTGAAATTTTGGGATAATATATTAAAAATTTTACTGTAGGGAAGACAACAAATCCAAACCAGAAAGTGAGGCATAATGTTGATATTATTAAATTGATAAGGGTGGATATTTAAAATATGTATAGAGAATGTCTCTTTGACATTAAAACTATCAAATTTACAAATAAAAATAGATTTCATATAAAAGCACAGCTGTAAATATTTACATACATACCTGTAAAATAATGACTAAAGGGCATTAGCAGATATAAAATTTAAAAATTAAAACAGAAAATAAGTAATTTTTATAGAATTAAGTAATTTTTATAGAATTAGAATGCTTCTTTTTCTATATAAAGACCTTTAAAACACACGTGAATGTTACCATACATAAATTTGCATGGATTATATATTTTAGACAAGTATTAAAAATTTAGAGCACCATTCAGATTTCCCAGGAAATGTAACACATGCAAATAGATCAAAATACTAGTTAAAAGTTAAGTGGAGGTGTTTTCAACATAGAATGGGAGATGCACAATTTGTTATCTAGCCAGTCAATATGAGGCTCATACATTTGTATTTATTGTTATTTTTTCCAAGGGCACATAACTGTTGGATTGAATAGTTGAAAAGACAGCATTAGAGTGGGGGGTAGAGATTAAGAATGATAGGTACTGAGGTCCAGAGACAAAGAATACAGCTCTTAGAAAAGCCTCAGATGAGCCACTACTTGAGCCAACTAGTGATACAGAAATGATGAAAGAAACCACCTTTCACAAGGTAATCTTTAATGTTCTGCCTAGATATTGGTTTTAACCTAAGACTAGGTATTTGACTTTAGCTCAAGAGCTGGAAAAAGATGTTTGAAATAGAAACTAAGATCCTAATCCCTGTGATACATGTGTTTGTAAATACCTGGACAAGAAAATAATAACTTTATATTTCCATAAATGGGGGAGGAGTTTGTTCTGCCTCTCTCCCTCTCTCTCTCCCTCTCTCGCTCCCTTCCTCTCTGTATTTAGCCTAAGAGTTTTTGAAAGACAAAGAATTTGCAAATCAGTCAGGCATGGTGATGCATGCCTATAATCCCAGCATGTGGGAGGCTGAGACAGGAGAATCACTGCAAGGTCTAGGCCAGCATGGGCTACATAGTTCAAGGCCAGACTGAACTACATAGCAAGAACTTGTCTTTAAAAAAAAAATTGCAAAGCAAGTAAGAACTAGGAGCAAAGTATTTAGAAAAATAAGGCTGGGGCCTTCCAGGGATGACGTATCCAGGAAAACTGTTTTTGCTGGGGTGTTCAGACAGTGTTGTGATCTGAATAGGAAAGTGTTCATGTCATAATGTATAAAGAGACTTCTGAGGAACTCAATATGCAGAATAATGTAAACTTTAAAATATATCCACATACATATATGTTCCTAGAAATAAAGCAGAAATGTCATACACATATCAAAATATCACCAATGGGCATTTCTTGATCATGGAATTAAGGGTATTTTTTACCTTCTTAAGATATTTTGAATGTTCTGCAAAGATGAAAAGTATTTCTTCAACATAGATTATTAGAGCAGATAGGTATTTAGCCATGATCTGGTAAAGAGAGCTAACTTCAAAGGTAAAGGGTAAAATTTTACAGTGGAACCACTGAGCTAAATCCCCGGCCTCTAAAATTTGTAGCAAGAGTCTTAAATGTAACATCACTGGTCACCAAAGAGTTGAGGCCAGAATCCATGTACCTGAACTCCCTGTTGGTGATTATCCCCGTATCTTCTTGCCTTCTGGAAGACTTCTACTCATAAGTTTTGAACCTACATCTAAGACTTTACAATTACTTTAATTTCACACCGCTTTTACCACGTCTGTGAACTATGTTTTGATTCAATTCCAGTTCTGTCTGTCATACATTAGTCCCTCCCATACACATATGACATCTGGGACTTTGTGAAGTGAGTTCGCCTTCCACACCTTTGAACGACCTGAACAAATTTTGACTAGGACAAAATCAAACGCAGAATCTGATGACACCATCGCAGACAAGGCAGAACAGAAAATCCACAGGCCAGATATAACTCACTCCTGCCACCTGGTGACACTGATTGTAACTTTCAGGGGCAAGTTACACATCCCCGACCTTGGGTACACAGGCAAAACCAAAGAAAGTTCTCAGGACTATAAAAAATAATTCACTGGAATGATAGTGGTACAAAAACATTAAGGTTCATAGTTACGTTTAAATAACTATGAAAGGATAATTTCAAAAATATTAGTTCCTACTAACCGTTTTGTTTGCTAAAAGTAGCCAGTTTAAAATCTTCTAGAAGTTGTTGGACATTTATTTGCATTTACCTTAATAATGTTCCCAAGATGCCATGCCCTGATTTATCAGTTACAGACATTACTACTAAATTTCTACTATAGTGGCTGATGAGCAGTTAACATTTTTCACAGCTTCCGTCACTAAACATATTCATACTTTTTGTGTCTCCAACATCGCAACATTATGAAAATATTATAATTTTGCTTAGAGTTCAGAGTTTGTGTGATGTTTAAGTCCTATTGAAGTGAGTAATATATATATATAT